TATATTACTGGTTTTAGTTTTAACTAACTATAATAACCTTGATGCTGATATGGAGCTCAAGAAACATTTTTATCAGGATTCTTTTATGAATAGAAAGATTTGAAAGAACAGCATTAAATGCAAATCTTTTGTGACATTATAAGTGTCTTTACTGTCACTTTTGATCAATTTAATGCATTCTTGCTGTATGAAAGTATTAATTTGTCAAAAAAACAACAACTTTTGAATGCTGTAGAAATAGTTCACACAAAAAGCTAACTTTTATTTAATCTTTTATTAGGAAAGTCATACTGGTTTTGAACACTATAAAGGAGACTATCCCAGTACAATAATGAATAAAATAATTTTGTTCCTGTCAACACGGTTTCTCATTCATTAGCCAGACTCTGAGCTTGTTTGTTTGTTCTTTTGTCCACAGATGTGGGAGAAGGCCATCGAGATGGCAAAACAACTTGTTAAACTTCATGAAAACCAAATGTTTGATTTCATAGAGCTCAGCCAACTGCTGGTAAGACAGACGTGTCAGAATTCCCTATTGTTTCTTTGTTAATGTGATCTGAAGGTAACGCCGCAGACAAACCTCCCCTGAGTTTCTGCGAGAGCAGTAGACGCTCTGTGATGTACAAACATTTTAGTGAGACAAACCTTCAGCTCGTCTCGTTTCACACGCTTCATATTTATTCATATTTTGGGCTGGTAACTCATAACCCTGTCTGCTGGGTAGCAGCCGTCACTCTGCACAGGAAATAAAAATGGCAATTTGCAAGCAAGAGGAGGAAGGAAACTCTGGTGTGATAACAGCTACTGTAGCAGTTACACACTCTGCTCTCAGTTCTGCCCTTGGCTCTGTGAAGTTCTCACTTTGCAGCTGCCTTCAATTAAGTCGGAGAACTTTGCTGTTGATGCCGATGAATTGGGTGGACAACTGCTTTCAGCTTTTCCTTGTCCTGTGGTTCATAAAATGTACAAGTTATTTTCCTTATTTATTCTCTGATTTGAAATTGTATAGCAAAAAAGGAATGTACAGAAAACCGCCATAACTTAAAGGGATAGTTCACCCAAAAATGGAAGATCTGTCATTTAATAACCCTCATGTTGCTCAAAATGTTGATTCTTCTGCAGAAAACAGAAGATATTTTGAAGATAGTTGCTAACCAAACAGTTTCTGTTCCCATTGACTTTCATTATATTTTTCCTCCATACAGTCTTCAATCAATCATTAATTCAATCATTAAAGACAGTAAAGACATTTATAATGTTACAAAAGATTCTAATTCAAATCAATGCTTTCTATTCATCAAATAATCCCGAAAAGTCAAATGTGTCACGGTTTCCACATAAATATGAAGCAGAACAAAAATGTTTTCAACACTGATAATAATAAAAACCATTATTAATGATTGAGCACCAATAATAACCGATCAAAACAGATCAGCAAATCAGCATATTATTATGATTTCTGAAGGATCATATGACACTGAAGACTGGAGTAATGATGCTGAAAATTCAGCTTTGATCACAGGAATAAATTACATTTTAAAATATATTTAAACAGAAAACAGTTATTGTAATTTGAAATAATATTTCACCGTATTACTGTTTTTATTGTATTTTTTAATAAATAAATGCAGCCTTGGTGAGCAGAAGAGACTTTTTTCAAATCTTAATGTTTCCAAATTTTTGATTGGTAGTGTATATATATATTTCAGCTTCATTTCAATTAGTGAATTAGTGAGTGAATCAAACCCTGAAAACTCTCCGACGTAACTCTTACTTGTTCACACACATATTGAAACCGATTTGAGAGCTGCAGTGAAGGAATTACAATAGTGCCACATCTGTGAGGTCAAAGTCAGAGAGCCACATTTACACAAAAGGGTTCTAGGGACTTAAAGGATAATCATCTCCACTTATGACAAAATTACAGGCTGTTGTGTGACCTAGAAATTGGCCGAAATGATTCACAGAATCTCAAGAACATTCAGAATTATTGCCATTAATTACATTTCTTCAGGATTGTCATAATTAAAAAGTGTTACATGGCATCAGAAGCATTATTTTTTAGGGTTGTAAGAACAATTTCGACAATTTGAAATTTTTTTAATGTCTGCTGAGACCTTGATTATTATTAACCTCTTAAAATAAGCTACTAAAAGGATCAGGATGGTTGGTCTTTCCAAGTGAAGAACCAAAGGTTAAGTGCTTTGATCAAAGGCTTTATGGGGGCAGATAACAGTAATTGAAGTTGACTTAAGCTTTTGTGTTAGCAGGATTACGTGCAATAGGGGTCAAACTAGTTATGCATTTGTCAATTAATTAACTAACAGAAATGGATGAAAATTGGCAATAATGGTGGATATTTTGACTTGAAGCTGTCAAATGACTTCATAGGAATTGCAATGCGGTTCACAAGCATGATGAACTCATTCACCTACATTGCATGGATAAGAGCGTCGTGAACACATACATAAACCTCTCATTTTATGTCGTAGGGGTTTGAAATGACATGAGGGTGAGCAAATGATGACAGTGTTTTTGTTTTTGGCTGAACTACTCCTTTTATGCTTGACTTTTAAATGCCTCAACTGCAAAGTCAAATGTAAAAACAGCAGTTGTTTTTGTACACAGAAACAGCAGGCGCAGTATTATGAGAACATCATGCACGCAATGAGACCCCAGCCGGAATATTTCGCAGTGGGATACTATGGACAAGGTTTCCCATCCTTCCTTAGGGTGAGTGAATTTTGCATTTTTAAAAAAAAATGACTTTAATTAAACCGGAATGAGGGATACAATTTTCAAACCATAATTTGGAGAGTGGTTCCTCCATTTGGTGCACAAATGTCTAATTTTCTGTTGTTTATGCAGTGTGAAACCTGAAAACTGTGGATTAAATGGTGACACAAACATGCTGGCAGGGTCGGCTCGATGTTGGGCATTTCAACATCAAGCATTGCCAATGGAAAACAGATATTTTGATTACAGCTCTCCCCAAAGAGCTCTCTGAGTAATTGGGTTTTAACAAGAAAATAATACTTTTGTTTTCACAGTCGGGTTTGGAAAGCCTGGTGCTACACTTTTACAGATACAAGAGCCCCTTAGATGTCTAAAAAAATGAAAGGCTTTCTTCAATCATTATTGGTTGTGCATGCATATCAAGCCATGGATATCACTCGAGTAGAGGAAGAAGCCAGCATGTTTATAGATGGAAGTTGCAGGAGAACATGTGGTCATTCATACGGGTATTTATCAGTTTTTTTCTCGACATACTCTGCCTGTTCCAAACAGAACAAAATGTTCATTTACCGTGGTAAAGAGTATGAGTGGCTGGAGGACTTCAGCTTGAAGCTCTTGAAGTCTCAGTTTCCCAATGCAGTGAAGATGACCAGCACATCGCCCCCTGGTGACAACATCTGTAACTCACCTGGTCAACGTATCCTTGACTCTTAGCCCTGCAAAATACTGACATTGTAGGCCAAATTGTATCAAATATTTAGATTTCTTTTTATGTGAAATTAGTTTTATTCTTTTTGTAATTTATTTATTAAAAACATTTACTATTATACACTAATGTTCAACAGTTTTCTGGTCAGTATTTAAAAAAAAAAGAGAAATTAATGTTTTTATTCAGAAAGGATGTATTAAATTGATCAAAAGTGACAGTAAATACTTTTATCATAAAATAATATCATGCTGTTCTTTTTGAACTTTCTATTCATCAAAGAGTCTTGAAAAAATGTATCACATTCAGCATATTTTTCTACAAAAATATGGAGCAGCACAACTGTTTTCTACATAGATAATGTTTCTTGAGCAGCAAATCAGCATATTAGAATGATTTCTGAAGGATCGTGTGACACTGAAGACTGGAGTAATGATGCTGGAAATTCAGCTTTGATCACAGGAATAAATTACATTTTGAGGTATATTAAAACAGAAAAAAGCTTTTTAAATTTTTGTTATATTTAGTAATATTACTGTTTTTACTATACTTTGATCAAATAAATGCAGCCTTGTTGAGCACGAGACTAATTTAAATGTTACTGTATATTTACATATATACATATTTAGATTTGTGATGGATAGAATGTAAAGGTTGTATAACTTGATTGTATAAAATATGGCGGTAAAGATTGTATAAATTTGAAAGTATTTAAATACTTGAGACACCTTTAAAGTGTCTGAATGTCATTGCATTGGATTAAAAATATCAAGTGGCCTTTATTTTAAAAGATAATCGCACTTTAAAACAAAACACAGAAACGGCAGATTTCACAGAAATGTTTAGTTGCTACTTGCCTTTGTTTTGTTATAAAACGTATCGTTCCGGTCCTTGATTCTGATTGGTTGTGCCTCGTTCGAAGCTGTTGTAAATTGCTCTACAATCATACACATTTTGTTTACATTTGTGTGTTACTCGGCAACCACTTTGTTGGACCCACAACCATTTCTGAGGAACTACATTGTTTGGTGGAAGAATACTGTTTTGATTAATATCATTACAATTCATTTGCTATGTTTTATTCTGTGAAACCTTACTACGTATATGGAATAACCGTTTTATAAAAGCAGTAAGCCCCGTGAAGCCGTGGTTTACAGTGAATTTATAACAGCTAAGGGGGTCACTCCGCGTCGCGTCGTGCCTAACAACGCCCCTTAGCTGTTATAAATTCACTGTAAACCACGGCTTCTTGGGGCTTATTGCTTTATTATATAATGCAGTAACAGCTGTTACTCTTTTATAACTACTGTACATTTAAAATCACCTTTTCTGCAAACCGTTTCAAGATCTAGAGATCCAAAATGATGCAGTGAAGTTTTTACATCCAGTACTCATTAAAATGCTTGCTTTGACCTACTGACCCCAAACGTGTGAATGGTAGTATCTGTGCTTCAAATGACACAAGTACAGTGTCCGAATGCTTTTTGGGGCCAAATGACAGGAATGTGAAGAGTTTTCTACCCTTAATCAATTCTCCGAAGATATTCAGTGTTTTACGGTGAAGCCTGTCTTAAACTTATCTTCACAGTTCAAGGACAAGGAACTTCCTGAACAAATCCTCAAGTATGAATTCACACACTTGTCACCATTAAAATCTCTTATAAATAATGCTGTTGTAGATCTTCTGTTGTTTTCTCAGTTATTACAGGACGAACGAGGTGGAAAAGTTCCAATATTCAAGACCATTCAGGAAAGGAGAAAAAGATCCTGACAATGAGTTTGCTGTGAGTTATGATTTATATTGTTGGTGTTATCGCATACAGGCATGAAAACATTGAACAGATATTGAAGTGCGGCGGGTGACCGATAAGGCAGATGAGGATAATTAGGGTGCGTGAAAAAGCGGATTTCAGATTAAACTTGGCTGATATTTTTCTTATAACATTGTTGACATTATATACACATTTTAGCACGTCTCAGCCGAAACTGTTGAGCGAGCTTCAGTTTGAAGTGTCAGACTCAAACCCGCACGCAAGTGAATGGGTGATGGTTTTCATCAATATTGTTTGTGACCGGCAAAGGAAATGAATGCAGAGATCCCAGTCATGACAAACCTGAAATCTGCATCTGAAAAAGTGATTATTTCCAAATTTTAAAGAAATAATTCAAAAGCATCAGTGTTATTTGCTTTCAAACTGTAAAAAATAAAACAAAGTCTTATGCATATTGTTAATGTGGACAAATGGTGATTTTTATGGCAAAGCTCCAATAAGGATGAATAAATAAGTAAACGTACAAGCAAACAAACAAATAAATACATAAACTCTTTATATTTCTAGTTTCTGCTCAGTGTTAAGATACTTAATTGCACAAAAAAAAAAAACATTTTAAATGCAGTCTTTGATAAATTTTTCCAAATCCGATACTCCCACAAAAGCATGGAAATTCTTTGATCATGAGATGTATGAAACTTTCTTAATAATACAAAATAAAATATTAATCATTATCACCATACTTGAGAATTTCATGATATCGGACCCCATTGTGCCCTTGATCAAAGAATGGGAATACCAACCATTAATATCCTTTTGGTCATGGTCCTTTCAGAGGTTTCTAAGTATTTAAGAGGTAAATAACCAAGGGCAAAGCAATCATTTAAAATGTTCAGTTTGTCACCTCCTGATGATAATAATGAATTCAATACCTAATAACTATTTTAAAAGAAAGTGGATGCTCGCTAACACTTAAGAATTGCCAATAAAATGTAATGTTGTTGTGATTCTGTGAACCATTTCACTAGCTTCACAAGATCCTGTAATTCATCCCTATATAATTATTCATAAATGGAGATGATTAACCTTCAGATCTTGGAACCCCTCTGTGTAAATGTGACTCTCTGTCTTTGACCTCACAGACTATGTGGATCGAAAGGAGCACCTATATTACGGCGTACCGCTTCCCAGGAATCCTCAAGTGGTTTGAAGTGAAATCCATGTCTGTGGTGAGTTACTAAAACTGTCTTTTTTTTTCTTCAAATGTGTCTATGAACAAAAATACTGATTTTAAAGACAACATGATATCAAAATGAATCCTATTCACTTCACAAAAGTACCTTATTTTGCTAATTTCATCATTGCATGTTACTGTCTTTGTAATCATTCGTCAAATTGTAATGACTTTTTCTGCCTCTGCAATAATATTTCTGCTGATGAAATGATATTCCAGTCTCTAGATATGCTCTTTTATGTCTTTCTCATAAGTGTACACTTTTAAAAGTTTGCTGTCTTTTTTTCTTGTAATTACTATAATGTATAATCGTCTTCTTAAATTCATATTAAACCTCTTAAATCTATTTAAAAAAATAATAATTTTTCAAAGTTTTTAAATTCCTTGTTTTATTGTTGTGATTATTGTTTTTATTTTATTTTATGTAAGGCACTTTGAATTACCATTGTGTATGAAATGTGCTATACAAATAAAAAAAATAAATAATTTTCAAAGTTTTTAAATTCCTTGTTTTATTGTTGTGATTATTGTTTTTATTTTATTTTATGTAAGGCACTTTGAATTACCATTGTGTATGAAATGTGCTATACAAATAAACTTGCCTTGCCTTGCCTAACTGAAGAAAGTTAGTATTCATCCAGCATTTGACATCTTCTAGACATTCAAAGAGTGATTTAACACATGTATCATCTCCAGACTTTATAGGCAAATACATCTGGGTGTCGCTAGCATAAAAGTGGTATGAGATACTATATTTATTAAAAATAGTACCAAGAGGAAGCATATATAATGAAAATAACACTGGTCCCAAAATAGAACCTTGAGGGATCCCATAAGTAATAGAAACTACTGATGACGAAAAGTTTCCAGTTTTAACATAAAAGGATTTATTTTGAAGATAAGAGGCAAACCGACTTAGGCAGTTCCTTGGATGCCCAAATGATACTTTAAACATTCAATTAGGATAGTATGGTCAATTGTATTAAATGCTGAGCTAAGATCCAGCAGAACTAAGGCAACATTGCTAGCAGAATCAGTTTTTAATAAAAGGGCATTAGCTACTCTAACGAGCTGATTCAAATGTTTTCTAAAATTTTAGACAAGAATAGATATTGGCTGAAAATTATTTAGATTTGCAGGATCTAGACCAGGCTTTTTAAGAAGGGGCTGGACAACCGGATGCTTAAGGCATAAAGGAACACAACCATTTGTCAGACTGCAATTTATAATAGAAAGAATGCTTTGTCCAATAGTATCTATAAACTTGACAAACAGTTTGGGGGGAAGAACATCACTTGATGAGGAAGTAGCTTTTAAATGTGCAAAATTATAAATGTTTTACTGTTACTTTTGATCAGTTAATGTACCTTTGCTTAATAAAACTATTAATTTCTTTAAAAAAAACAGGTAGTCTACAATCAGATTTTATAATCATAATCAGTCTAATGTTGTCAATCATTTGTAGGAAGAGATCAGCCCTTTGGACAACGCCATAGAAACCATGGAGCTGGCCAATGAGAAGCTGAGTAATCTGGTGCAGCAGCAGGCGTGTGACCGCTCTCTTCCTGTGCACCCCCTCTCCATGATGCTCAATGGAATCGTGGACCCGGCTGTCATGGGTGGCTTTTCCAACTATGAGAAGGTTAGTCTTTCTCCTCTTCTGCTGCTTCTATTAATTTTTAACCAAAATATATCAAGCCCAAATCAAGCTATCCACCTGATAATACTGGCTGAATCAGTCAGATGTGCTCCACAGTTGCTCTGTACCTTTTCTCCAGGTCAGATATGAAAAATGTATGTGCCTCGAGGCTTTAGGTCTGCTGGAGCATCGGCTGATATTAATTGAAATTTTTGTTTCGTCCCTCAGGCGTTTTTCACAGAGGCCTACATGAAGAAGAACCCCGACCACCTGGAACGCATTGAAGTCTTAAAACACCTGATCGCATTGCAGGTGACACTTCTGCAGATCTGTATTGTGTTTAAAGCTTTACACAATACCGTATATACACAGAGGTGTGGGAGATAGCACTAAAATGTTATACTATGGGAGCTGTGTGTATCAAAATAGATTAGTGAAAAATGGCTTATACACTATTGTTTAAATGTTTGTGGTCAGTAAGATTTTTTAAATGTTTGAAACAAGTCTCTTATGCTCACCATATTTCATAACAAATACAGTAAAATCAGTAATATTGTGAAATATTATTGCAGCTTGAAACATGTTTTTTTTATATATATTGTAAAGTGTAATTTATTCCTGTGATGTGAAGCTGAATTTTCAGCATCACTACTCCAGTCTTCAGTGTTCGATTCTTTAGAAATCATTCTAATATGCTGATATGCTGCTGATATGTTTTGTCTACTGTAAAAGCAGCAAAGTCTTAAATTCAATTGAGTGTTAAATTTTTAATTTTCAAAATGTTTTAATGTCTGTTTCCTCTCAGATCCCGCTGCTTGATGAAGGGATCCGGATCCATGGAGAGAAATCCACGGAGCAGCTCAAGCCCCTTCACAACAGACTTGTCACCTGCTTCCAGGACCTGCGTGCTAAAGTGGAGAAACTCTACGGTGTCATTACTCTAGTGAGTCTGACGGATTCGACTCTAAAGAAGGGATTGTGACAGACTGAGGGTTTGCAGTTTCTGGGAGGAAATGTTTCAGATCTGAGGAAGTGATTCATATGAAATATTGTCTAACAATTTCTTTGAAGGAGTTTTGAAATCAGCTAAGACAACACAAGGTTCAGTTTCGTGAGACTGTAGACTGCATGAGGGAGGACAAATCTGCTTTGTCTGTGTGTGTCAGGTTTTTGCTATATTTGCAGGTTTTTTTGGTCCCCACAAACGTAATAAAACCTACACTTTTTAGTCTCTTTGATTAAGTTTGGTCCCCCAAAGGAAAAATATCTAATGTTTGTCATTGTTTTGATGTTAAAATACTTTCTCCCATCCCAGGTTATATGCAGAGACAGCTACAAGCAGTTCTTATTAGATGGCACACAACACATCCCTTAATTTTTGCCTAAAATGCAAGCATGAATTCAGATCTGCTTTGTCTGTGTGTGTCAGGTTTTTGCTATATTTGCAGGTTTTTTTTGGTCCCCACAAACGTAATAAAACCTACACTTTTTAGTCTCTTTGATTAAGTTTGGTCCCCCAAAGGAAAAATATCTAATGTTTGTCATTGTTTTGATGTTAAAATACTTTCTCCCATCCCAGGTTATATGCAGAGACAGCTACAAGCAGTTCTTATTAGATGGCACACAACACATCCCTTAATTTTTGCCTAAAATGCAAGCATGAATTCATATTAAAATCAGACTTGTTGTGCAGAAGCATGCTACAGTATGCCTTACTTGGAAATTTTTACTCTAAGTAAAAAAATCCCACATACTTACACTACAGTTAAAAAGTTTAAAGTTAAGATTTTTACATTTTTCTAAAATATTTTCTTATGCTCACTTCGTTAACTCATTGACTCATGACTTCATTTATGTAATTAAAAATCTAATAAAAACAGTAATATTGTGCAATATTATTACAGTTTAATATAACTGTCTTCCATTGTAATGTATTTTAAAATGCAATTTATTCCTGTGATGCAAAGCTGAATTTTCAGCAGCCAGTCTTAAGTGTCACATGATCCTTCAGAAATCATTCTAAAATGCTGATTTGCTACTTAAGTAAACATTTCCTATTATCATCAGTGTTCTGCTTAATATTTTGATAAAACGGTGATACATTTTTCCCCCCCGGGTTTCTTTAATGAATAGAACGTTTTAAAAAAAAAGCATTTATTTGAAACAGAAATATTTAGTAACATTAAAAATGTTTCTTTGTTAATTTTTTTTAAATATCTTTAGACCAGTTTAATGCATCCTTGCTTAATAAACATTCTATTGTATTGCATTGCATTCTATTCTATTCTATTTCTAAATACTGGCAAATTCACATTTATGAATGCTGAAAGTTCAAAGATAGATTTTAGGTTCGAGTTGATTTACACTATAAGTCAGTGAGATCCACGCCAGGCCCATGATATATATATGTATATATATAAAGTGTTTGTGCTTGTGTATTTCCAGCCCTGCTCTCTGACAGAGAAGAAGAAGAGTCGCGTGGGGTCGGTGGTGATGCCGTACATCATGTCCTCCACGCTCAGAAGGATGTCCACCATCTCAAACGCCTCCTCTGGACACTCCAGTGGCTCGGGCTCCTCTGACGGAAACTCCTCCAGACCTGCTTTCCAGGAGTGAGTATTTACTGTATCCTGTTTTCTCATTTCTAGAAATAAACTCTCTCATTTTCAGCACTGCAGTGAAGGCTAATTTGCTGCAGTACAGAGTTCCCGTGGTCATGGAAAGGTCACGGAATGATTCAGTTTCCCATGTAATTAAGCTTTCTGCTAGTGGACAAACATGACATTAATCCGTTTAACCTCTGTGTTTAATTGGCTCTTGTAGATGCTGGATAAGTGGATTCTTGTTAAACAAGTCTTTAATTACCATTAACTGGTCAGAACACTTGCCTTTTAGGTTTTTTGCTGCAAAGTTATTATTGTGATTGAATGATGCCTAGTGGGAAAAACATGGAAAGTGCAGTTTCCATTTTTCTTCCCGTCTCGCCTTGCTTCGTTTGACGTCATCCTAGTATGTGCTTTGATTACTAAGAAAATGTTCTTGGTATTTAATTCTTAATTATAATTCAAAGTAAGTGGAAATTAGGTATTTTGATTAGTAAGTACATTTTATTTATAGAGCACATTCAAATTCAGCTTACACTGACCAAAGTGCTGTACAAAAATAATCATATAATACAGTTTACAGTACTGATACTGATTACTGCCTTATATATGTTACAATTAAATATGTTTATAACAACATACTATAATTATATATATGTATGTATGTATATACAGTATATATATATACAGTATCTCACAGAAGTGAGTACACCACTCACATTTTTGTAACTATTTTATTATATCTTTTCATGTGACAACACTGAAGAAATGACACTTTGCTACAATGTAAAGTAGTGAGTGTACAGCTTGTATAACAGTGTAAATTTGCTGTCCCCTCAAAATAACTCAACACACAGCCATTAATGTCTAAACCGCTGGCCACAAAAGTGAGTACACCCCTAAGTAAAAATGTCCAAATTGGGCCCAATTAGCCATTTTCTCTCCCCGGTGTCTTGTGACTCATTCGTGTTACAAGGTCTCAGGTGTGAATGGGGAGCAGGTGTGTTAAATTTGGTGTTATCGCTCTCACTCTCTCATACTGGTCACTGGAAGTTCAACATGGCACCTCATGGCAAATAACTCTGAGGATCTGGAAAAAAGAATTGTTGCTCTACATAAAGATGGTGTAGGCTATAAGAAGATTGCCAAGACCCTGAAACTGAGCTGCAGCACAGTGGCCAAGACCATACAGCGGTTTAACAGGACAGGTTCCACTCAGAACAGGCCTCGCCATGGTCGACCAAAAAAGTTGAGTGCACGTGCTCAGCATCATATCCAGAGG